AGTGAGACCTAGCCTAAATTCATAAAAGTAAATAAATAAATTAACAAGTAGGTTTGTCTCATGTATTTGTTTTTTCTCTTTCTTTCTTTCTTTTTTCTTTTTTGGCTGAACAGGGGATTGAACTCAGGCCCTTGAGCTTGCTAGAGAAGTGCTTATTCCACTGAGCCATCTCCCTGGCCCCTATATTTTTCTTTTTTTTTAAAAAAATGTTTTTAGTACAGGGTCTATAGGGTCTCACTATACAGATTGGACTCATAGTAATCCTCCTGTTTTCAGCCTTCCAGGCACTGGGATCACAGGCACATGCTACCACTTCTAGCCTCAACAGCCATCTCAGCACGCCCCCGGGGGCAGGGCTGGCGTTCTGGGGGATCAATCTTTGTCTCATGTATTTCTGTTGAGCTGGATGACCTCTTTATGATGATCGCTTCTAATGTTTATTCCTGGGATGCATGTGCTTATTATTATTTTTAATCGATAAATAAAATTATACACATTTATGGTCTATAAGATGATGTTTTAAATTAAGTATGTTATTGAGCAACTTAATCAAATAATTAACATGTGCATTATCTCACACATTTATTTTTTGTGATGAGAACATTTAAAATCTATTGTCATAGCAATTGTCAAGTATACTATTCCTTTATTATTCACTCTAGGCCTATGCTGTACACAGCCTCTTTTTTTTTTTTTGGCGGAACCAGGGATTGAGCTCAGGGCCCTTGGCTTGCCAGGGAAGCACTTATTCTACTGAGCCATCTCCCCAGCCCTGTGCATACCCTCTTGAACGTATTCCTGCATGTGATCTTTGAGAGGCATTGTATTACAGTACCCTTTTGTGGGAAGTCTTCATAAGCAGTTGGCCTATACTTTGTTGTCTAAACCAAGGCACATCATGAGAATGAATGAGGACATTATTAGTAAGTATGCCTGACAACAGGTACAAACTAGAACTATGCCAGGTATATAACCACTTGATTGGTAGACAAGAGGCACACAGTATGAGGGGAGGATAGTATTTTGTTCCTCCTGCTCCCAAATATGTAGAAAGGGACATCTCTTCCAGAAGAATGCTTGTGCAATTGGAAAGTATCATTGTAAATTGGAATTTTAAATCTAGAGGTATAATCAAGGTTCATTTTCTGTTTACACTTCCATCTGATGCATACTTAGTCAATGTTAAATCTATGCTTGAAAGTAAACCAGTGGTACTAAGAAGTGAAAGCAAAGAATGACACCAAGAAAGGAAAATAGAGTCAACTGAATGCATCTACGCAAATGTCATGAATGCTTCTAGATCTGCTGAAGTAAATCTGACTTGGGGTTTGACAACCTTTTCCTATGAAGGGCAATGTCGTACTTCTGACTTTGTTGACTATTTGGTCTCTGTTGTGACAACATTGCAGCTGTAGTATGAAAAGAGCCCTAGATGACAGACACAGACATGAAGGGGCATAGAAATGTTTCAATAAAACTTTATTTACTCAAACACACAGGAAGCAGTGAAAAATTTAGGGTATCGGCTGTCATCTGTCCACTTCTGTGCCACTTATCTCTTTTAATACTAGAAAGTCTGTTCTAAGGGAAGATGAGAGTTTTCATATTAATTCTGTTGTCCCCGTCTGCTGTGACAGATTAAGCCTATAGCTAATGGGATTCATGGCAAAATGCAACAGGCCTTATTTAATATACATTTTTGCTTTCACATTTTCCAGTAATTCAAGATAGCAGTTGAAGAGTTTGATGGAGGGAAACAGCCAGGGCATTTTAGATGGGGAAAGGAAATCATGTGGGTTTCACTAAGTGTTTTAGAAGGAAGGGTGCAGGAGTATAGAACTTGGGAATGGAGGCTATAGTGCTTTATTTTTTCTAGAAATAATGTTTTAAAAAGTTTTAGATTGTCTTCTACCTTAGGAAAGAGACTAAAATTGCAAACACTTGAAGAAATGAAGACTTCAGTCTGCTTCCATCCTTGGAAGCAATTGACTCAAAATTAAGGAAAGCGTAAGAGAGAATCACTTTGGGACTTATAGGTAGAAGTGGAGTCAGTAGGTAAAAATGAAAAAAATTTAGAATAACACCAAATGTTTCCCACTTAGGCAGAAGGCAACCATTAGTAATTCAAGCAAATCTCAACAAAGACATAAATGTGATTAAAGAGAATTAAATAGATGGTAGACCATAGAATGTGGTGAGAGATGTGATATGGAAAATGTCTTATGTGTATTTTATTTTACACAGATATCCATGTACCTACTGCTACTTGGTGACAAGTTGCTATAATTGCTAAGTTAGGAGAACTGGAGAGTGATCCTAGTGATGTATGGGTTCTAGCTTCAAATCACTGACAGGGTAAATGCAAGCATTAAAAATATGGTGGGTAGCTTAACAAACGAAGGAAAATCTCAGAGTTCTTCAGTCTGTTCTGTACCATCAAGTTAGATGTAGTGGAAGATTTACATTTGTAACTATTTATTATAATCGTTTTATGGAGATCTTTCAATCTACTTGGTAACTTAATTATGTAGTTATGGAGTGGTCAACAGCTATGAAGAGACTGATCTTTACAGTACTGCAATCTACATGTTTCACATATCCAGGGGAAAAAATCAAGACCACTCAGAAAGCAAAACACAACGAAGATAAATTAGTATTGACTTAGCTCGTATTATAAATAAAGGAACATGATGGAATGCTGAGAAAAATGGAACGGGAATTTCAGGATGGAGGGCTGAGAAAAATGGAATGGGAATTTCAGGATGGAGGGTGCATACAGTCATTCTATGAGTGAAGGGTGAAGAGCAACAGGTGGGGAGAAAAGCGGGGGAAGGTAGGCAGCCTCAGGGCCAGGGAAGGAGGCTGGACGGAGCCCAGGACCCCAGAAGTTCCTGGAGGACCCCAAGGAGGGGGGACAGTAAGTTGCTGCTTATAGATGCCATTTTCTATGGCGACTGGTCTGACAACAAAATACTGCCTTCAAAGAATTTCTTTTTAAATTTTTATATAGAGTTTTCAACATATTTTAAGGTTTTTTTTCAGATGAAGGAAGTAAGAGAAGCAAATTATTTTTGAAAAATCCAAGTGTTTTTTTTATATCCAGGAGTGTATGGTACAGACCATTAAATATTACATGCTTCTGCCTACAAAGATCTCAATTAGAATGATGTTACTTAATAGCACTGGGATTATGTTTTTTAATGAAGATCATTTGGAACCTTGAATTATAAAGATAGATATCTCTTATTTTCCTAATTTGCTAATGGCTTATGTTAGAAACCATAACATAACATTTGCTATTTGTTTGTTTGTTTTTGAGACAGGGACTCTGCAGAGCCCAGACTGGCCAGCACTCTTGGTGATTCTCCTGTCTCAGGCTCCCAGGTGCTCGGATTGCAGATGTGTGCCATCACTCCAGGCTAATATCTGCTATCGAAAAGAGTTTTTTTGGGTTATTTTCTCCCTCTGACTTTCAAAATGTACATGCCACTGGAGAAATCTGATCTAATAAAACAATGAACTGGGTCCTTTTCTCATATGGGTCATGCTTGATAGATGCCCTGGCCAGAACCTAGAAATCCACAGTGCAGAATGGGAAAGGTTGAGTTCCCGTGGGTAGTTGAAACAGCCTGTTCTGGGTCATGAGGAAGAGTCAGAGATACCACTGGAACTCCATCCGGCTATGTCCAACATTGCTTCAGTCTCGTGGCTCAATTCTGAATTCTAAAAAGGATTTTGTGGAGTGGTTGGGAAAGACTGTATCTAGTATAGAAAGAGTTACTTCAAACTTCTGTATCATTGAAAGAGCTAAGAACTGGAAACTTCACATTGATAAGAGAGGTGAACAAGCCAGGAGAAATACAAACATGTCTCTCTCCCACTGGCCTTCTAGGGTTGAAGGATCAGAAATACCAAGTTATAATTTCACCTACTAATTTCCAGGGGTCGAGGTAAATCAAATTACCTCTTGATCCGAGCTTGTTTATAGCGAAGGAAATAATACTCTGTGGATGCCATCCAGTACTTTGAAGTTTATAGACGGCGAGTGATATGAGAGACAGCCGGTGAAAACCTTGGAGCACACTGTGAAATGTATCCGTGGTCCCCCGCCACCGCCACCTACCACAAGCCCAAGGTGAAGGGTGATTATGATAGAAGATAGGAAACCTGAGGGGATGACTGCTCCCTGGCTTGGGTTTCCATGGACCTTAACGTTCAGAAGATTGTGAATCCGTTTAACCAGAACTCCAAATAAAGAGCAGTAATGAAAGGCAAACAGAACTAAGAGCATTCCAAGGTAATGATAAGGGAGGAGACCTCCCATGCAAGCAGAAGAACTGCATCGTGATGAAGAATTTGCCCGGCAATGCAAGACTAGATCTCCAGGGTTTAGATTAGACAAAGAAGGCAGAATTAGGAATGGTGAGTTTCTAAGGGTAACTGTAGACAGGTTTTAAAATAGAATAGAGGGCTGGTGAGATGGCTCCGTGGTCTAAAGCACCTACTTAGAACAAGCTTAGCAAAGCACAGGGACCGCGGTTCAATCCCCCAGCACCACATGCCAGCCAGCCCCGCCCCCTGGTGGGCTGAGCTGGCCACACACACACACACACACACACACACACACTAAATAAATAAATGTTTTTTTTTTTTTTTAAAAAGAATAGAATCCCATCTAGTCCTGGCTGACGGTAGAAAGAACGTACTGAAAAATGAAAACAATACCTTTTCTTGTCTAACGTTTCAGCATTTTAAAGATTTAGATGGTTAAAGCTGATATCCTGTGAGAAGTGGATCCTCACGGCAGCCCTGAGAAAAGGTACAGAAGGGCCGCAATTCCTTCACGCGCGAGGAAATGCGAAGACAAAGGATCGAGTTCAGCGGGGAGGTGGAGGAAGGCAGGCAGACATCGCGACTCCGCACTTCGGAGGGAAGTGGGGATTGTTCTTTTCCTTTTGAAGAAAGCGTTTGTTCCCTTCCAGGTACCCTTGATTACTCACTGTTAAGCAGGCGGAAGTCGATGAATGGGTAGGAGCCGCGGCGCTCAGCAGGAACCCCCGTCTGACCCCTTAGTCGTACATCTCCTAGAAAACAGAAAATCCAAACACGTGTTTGAAGACGTTGCCAAGTGTATTCCCTTTTCCTCTGTAAATCCTCTTAACCAGTTCTGTCAGCGGAACCAAAACCAGATGTCGTGAAGAAAATGACTCCGTTCACCTGACTTCAGAGAGCCCTGGGAGGGAAGGGACGTGAGTAAGCGCTGAGCCTGCGGGTTGGCAACACGCTGCTCTCAGGCATTTACCTGGTCTATGAAATGACGGCCGCTTGCAACGTTTTCCTACTTCCCAGGGCCATAAATTTAGACAGGCATCCAAACTGGGAGGGGCAAATGGTATGTTGGGGCTGTAGCTTTTGTTCTAAGGTACAATCGCTCACGGCATCGTTTCTCTTGTTCGCAGTCCATTTCTTTTCAGACTGGTACCCATCCTGCCTTCCCAAGGCTGTGCCGGGGATCTGTATTAGAATCTGTTCTCAGGCCAGCCAAACTCCATGTACTTTAGCCTCTGAGCCCCACTTGCCTAGGGAGTTCCTAGTGCTTATTTATTTGCAGGTTTCTTTTAGTAACTGTACTCCTTCTCCTTTTCAGTGTGTATGTTCTGCCTTCCTAATCGAGGAAAGTGATGAAATACAGTGGAAAGTACATGGGCATTAGAATAGAGTGGACCTAGGGCAAGTCTGGCTCAGACACTTGTTACCTGTGCGATCTTGGCAAATTTGTTTCTCTCAGCTTCAGCGGCCTCATTTATGAAATGAAAATGACTAGCTACAAAATGCCATTATCAGTGTATCTAAAGCAACACTTGCTGCCCGGCAATAAATGCTGGTTTAGTTCTTCTCAACCCTTTCCAAGCAGGGCCAGGGGACATTACAGGGTCTGCATTTCTCCCTAGTGTGTCATGCGGCCTTGGGAACATGGTAGGCTCTGAGCAAATGTCTTTGGCTTACAGGAGCAAACGACTAGACTTTCAGTTAGAATTATTGGAAATCAGACAGGGGGAGAAATACAAGAAAACTAGTGTGTTTCCAGAAGAACCACAGTTGGGAAGATTTTAATTCCAAGAGCATTATTCCAGGTGCAATGGAACACCTCCCATAAGCCACTTCTTCTGAGGCCTAATATAGCATTGGAACCTTAGCCTGGAACAGAGATGGGGAGCAGGCTTCTCCTCACTTCCTATCTCCTGGTGAAATCCTCATCTGCTGCAACCACATAAATGACAATGCTCAATATGCCCTTCACCCATGGGCCTTACATGTACCTTGGTTATGCGGTACAAGCTACGGGTTCTTGGACTATTCTCAGCTTTAAATTTCATATTGGTGCCTTAGTAAGTTTTGTAGAGTCTGATATGGTATTGTGATATTGGTATCAAAGGATATCACAGTTTATGGAATAAAAAGAAATGAATTGATTAAACAGATTAAAAAGCAAAGTTAGAGGAGGAAGACATGGGAAAGTACATTTAAAATTATGCATATAATCTGATGTCAAAAAAGAGTCCTGTTAGCTTTGGTAAGCATGTGGGGTGGATGGTCAGTAGCTGAAGGAAGGCCACACAAAAGAGTTGAAATCTTGTCTCCTTGTAGTTTTCTTGAGCACCCTATAGTCATAATGATCCAGAGTTTATGGAGCACTTTCAAAAACATCACAGTGGATTTATTGTTGAGTTTTTTCTCATTGGTTGTTTGCATAGTCTTGAGAGGAAAGGTCCCACTTTTTCCCCTTACTTTGTAAGTGAGAAGACAGTGGTTCAGAGAAGAGTAGCTCAAAGACTGCTATTCTCCCTGAGGTCCCCGCCAAGGACTCCAGCCCATTAAAGACTCAGGAGAAATCTGTTGACTTTCCTGAGTGGCTGGTGCTTTAAGCCTATAATGAGCAGAAGTAGCATTCAGTTCAGGGTGTTCCATTCCACAGGAACTGTTCTCTTCTCAGTATCACCGATATCTACCCTTGTGAAGTGTGTAGACCTTGTTCTCAAAATGAAACAAAGCTACCGCAGAACAAAACTTGCACATACTCTTCCATGACAGAACTTAGACTTCTTAAATCTGCAGAGGGTACAGAGCATGTTTAAATGATAAGACAAATTCAAGGCTGACTGCAGTGGAGTTTATAGTTTATATTAATAATGCTAAGATAGGCTTATCTTTTCAAAACCTATGTGTACGTGAAAATGTCGACAATTGGTCAGTGCAGCTGGCCTTGTGCATTTGTGACCTGTTGCTATGATCTCTTAGGCTTTTTCCAGGAGCCTTAAGTTTGCCATTTGAAATTCACTTCTCTTTTATTTTATTTTGTATATTTGGTACAGGGTCTCACTACACAGCCTGGACTCATAGTGATCCTCCTGTTTTCAGCCTCTGCAGTGCTGGGATTACAGGCATGCACCACCATGCCCTGACTTGGTGGCTGGCTCAGCATACCTTGAGTCAGGGTGGGCATGACCTGTGGTGCTGGGGATCAAACCCTGGTCCCTGTACTTGCCCAAGCAGGTACTTAGTCTGCTGAGTTATCTCACTGGCTCTTCACTTCTTTTTTAGCATTCTCTTCTTGGTGTTGTCAATGAGTAGTTTTTGACTTTGCAGCTATGAGGGTTACCAATTTCCCCTAAAAGATACATGGAATATTGGTGTAGGTTTTAAAGACGGTCACAAGATTTATTCCTTTTGTTCATGACAATGTAAAACCAGGAGGTCCAGAATCAGATGAGACTTTAGATTTTAGGGAACAGGAGAGAAGGCACTACAAGGCAGAACAACCAGGGCTGGAGCATAAGATTTGGAGAGCACTTGGACTCAGGAACCCTTTCCTGTACCAAAGACCAGCATTTTGCTGTATTGAATAACCTTGGACAAACCAATAACCACTATAGGATCTAGTTTTCTAATGTTTAAATTAGAATATTCATAGCATATAGCATATTTATAGCATTTCCCTATTTCATAGGGTTAATGTGAGGAAATTCTAATGTGTGTGAAAACTATAGTTAACATTTATTGAATACTTACACTGTGCTGGACATTTTATTTATTTATTTTTTTGCTGAGCATTTTATATGTATTACCTCATATCATAATCTAATAATCCAAAGTATTACTAGATAATTTCATAGTTGAGGAATTAAAGCCAATGAAAATTTGGTAATTTCTGCAAACTCATAGAACTAGTGAGAGGTTGTGCTTTGATACTAACTCTAAAATAAAGTTCTTAACTTTTTTGATATTATCAACAAAAATTTTCATAGCTATGAATTACTTTTATATATATGTGTGTGTATATATATATATATATATATATATATTTATATATTTGTTACCAGGAATTGAATTCATGACCTTGTGTCTGCCAGGCAGGTCCTGTGCTACTGAGCTATGTCCCCAGTCCCCAATGTATGCTCTGATTGTTGTCTACCAATAAACAAGGATATAGTCAACATGAGTCCTAAATTGTGAATAGCAAAGGATCTTACTGCCTTAATGAATTCAAAATTCAGTCAGATTGATGTTTATTCAAAGAGTACTGCAGTGGAAAAGAGCTGCATGAATAGGATAATTGAATCCTGTTCTGAATCAACAAGGCATCTATTACTTTCAAGTACAAAATGGAAAGCAACTATTTAAAATATTATTCAGCACAAAGACCCAATCCAAAACTGGGCATCTGAAATGAATACACACATTTCTCCAATGAAGAAACGTAAATGGCAAATAAATACATGAAAAAATATTTAACATCATTGGTCATTTGAGAGATGCAAATTAAAACAACGTTGAGATTACATCTCACCCTAGAATAAATGGCTATCATCAAGAAATCAATCAATAACAAATGCTAGAGGGGCTATGGGGAAATAGGAACCTTACTCTACTGCTGGTAGGAGTGTAGACTGGTGCAACCACTGTGGAAATCAGTGTGGAGAGTCTTCAATAAACTAGGATTAGAGGCCCTATTCAACCCAGCTATCTCCCTTCTGTGTGTCTTGGTAACAAAAACATCATACCACAGCAATATATGTGCACCCATCTTTATAGCAACATGATTTGTAATAGCTAAATCTTAGAAAACCCCCAATGCCTATCAACTGGGAATAGGATGAAAAAGACGTGGGTTTTTTTGTATGTATAATAGAGTACTGCTCAGCTGTAAAGAAGGATAATGTGGAGACTTATAGGTAAATGGCTACAACTTGAGATCATACTCACAAGTGAAATAAGTCAGATCCATATGAGTAAACATTATATTGTCTTTTAGTGTGAGAAACTGAATGAGTAAATGAGATCCAAAATGTACAGTAGATACTGTGAATTGGGAAGAAACTCTTCAAAAGAAAAGACAAACTGTGATGAGGGAAAGGGGAAAGGAAGGAAAATAAAAAGAAAAAAATATTTATATACATGATAGTTAAGATGGTTTCTCTTAGTTCACTGAAAAGAAAGGTTTGTGATAATACATATTTTTTTGTGCACATATTGTTTGATATCTTGTTTGGATGAGATATCACACTTATATTTTATACTCTGAATAATTACTGTGAAGGCAATAATAAACAATGTATTAATTATTATTACTCTCCTACTAATCTGTTTTGAAACTGGTATTTTTTTTTCTTTAAAATAAAAAAAAGATATTATTCAGCAGAACTGAGATTAACGGGCAATTCATTTATTTAAGTTCTTAATGAAACAATTTTCATTATGCACCATGTTTTTGGGGAAAAAGAAATAGCCATCAAGCAAGTTGATAACAAGAACATTAAAACAAAGAAGATACATACATCAATAGCAACAACCAACAACACCATCCAGGAAAGATTCAGCCTCGGTGCTTATACTGTCTTTAACTACAATTGTAATCTTAGAAATGAATTACTCATAAACTCATGACAGCTCCGAGGGACAGTACATAATTATTTTTAAAATGCATTACACTACGTTTAAAAAAAACTTGTAAGGCAGAAGGTAGGATGATTGTAAGTGGAATAACTATATTTTAGAAGTTTTCAATGTGAAAAAAGTTAAGATA